GATTTATTCATCCGAGCTTTCGAACCGAAGCCCATCGTCGAGGATGAAAGCGGCAAGAAAGCAAGCAGCCGTTATGGGGCACTGGCAACAGACAATCAAACGCCAGTCCGGAGTTGACTGCGCAGTATTCCGTATGCCGGCGCCATATCAACTGAATAACTTTGCATGTGTGTTTCAGGCCTAAATCAATTAGCGTCTTATTTTTCTACTGGCGTGGGAGATTCTCTGCGTAACTATGAAGTTAAATTTGGAAATGCCGATAGACAGTTGGGTAATTCGTCATCTCATCGTCAATTCCGTTTATTTTCGTGTAGTTGAGATCCGAACGTGCGTTCAATCTGGCTTGTGAAGCTATAGGGACAGTTTGGACATGAGATGCATACACAACACCCGAGTGCTCATAGGGATTTAACGGGTTTTTGATTTTCACGAAGTTGCTGCGTATGGTAGCTTTAGTATGGTGTGCAATTCCACAACCTAGTATCGCAACGATGCGCTCGGTCGCTTTTGACAGGTCCTCGATACATGGTAGAGCATGCCATACCACAGGTTATGTTTCTGCTTTGACCCCTCGGGGCAAGCGCGTAGGCATCGGCTCACTAACGCCTTTGTATAGTCTTTCCACATAAACTGGCAATGGAAATATTGGGTCTCATGTGATTTTTCTTCCGGGTTACTGCAGTGAGACTGGATTCGTTTAAACGATGTTCTCCCACAGCTTTGTTTGTGAGCTGTCGGATGGTTTCTGTGAAAACTGAGAAGCTGAACGGTGTTCATTACCCTTCTGTAGACAGTTTTTCCTATTTCGTCGTTGGAACTTCGCCTGACGAGCACAAAAAGGAAAGGCAGCTGCAGCGCCGTTTATCTTCTTCCTCCATCGTGAATTTATATCTGAAAGGATCTAGGTTAAGTAAGTGCGGAAAGTCTGCAGCATGTTTCTTTTGACGATTATAGTCGTGGCGTCCACTCAATGGCGCCAAAAGATCGCTTAATGACCTCGAAAGCGTAAATGAATAAAAGCATTATGCCGGCGAGCGACCAACCTTCGTCTTCTTTACTTATATACACACACACCTGGAATGTTAACATTTGCCTTTGTATTGACTATGTATTCTCATCCCATTATTGAGGAGGATATGAGAACGCGCTACCTCAAGTTGTTGTAACGAGGCGTGAGAGCTCTACTTCAGTTGAAAATAGTTTATACTGTCTCCATGTGAGCCTACTACCGATGAAAAGTGTTATCGCATAGCTTCATTCGGGACCCAAGAGATAGTTGTTGTGAAAACTGAATTCAGATTTTTGTGTTCATTTTCTGCACCGATATTTGTTGTTGCTTCGATCCGAAGAAAACGAAGTATGGTCAACTGATCAGCAATGGACAACCAAGGCACCCAGCATACTCCCTGATAATGCCAGTTATATGCCGGTAGACCTGATTAAAATCTTTGAGGTCCAACATGAAGAACTGATGTCACGAAAATAGCAAGATAAAAATATTTTTGTTCTGTCAAAAGGTGTGGGGACCCCCATCCGTCGACAGACGACTGAATACTACTTACCGGCTTGCGTTCAATTCCCACAAAAACAAAATACGTCCCAGGAGGCCGGCTTGCACTTG